AAAATTATTCTAATACGACCCCCAAATGAATTGTTTGCGTCCAAAATAATCAGACTTCGTCTCTGCGTCTAACGTTGTTGATGCCTTAATACCATTAAGGAGCCGGACGCGTGCTGACGCATTTCATTTTCTCTAATTGAATTGACTGATTATGGCGCACGTCGTCTAACAGTTTAATGTCGCTCGCTCTGTTTCAATTTCATCTGTTAAGTCGCACTTTCATAAGAACCCTTCGACGGACTTGTTTTTGTTCGAAAGCCTGTCAAATTAACGTTAAACCCAATTCTATAGCGACATTGTTAACGGTCGTCTGGTGTAGTGGTCACTACACAACGGGGTCGCGGGTTCGAATCCCGCCAAGGGAAGATATTTGTATGATAAATATAAATGTCTTTTCCAGGGTTATGGATGTATATTAAATATATGTATGTGTATAATAAAAATCTTACATTTATATCCGTTATCTGGTACCTGTAACACAAGTTCTTTACGAACTTATCACGGGACCAGTTAACGTGGCGTGATTGTTAGTAAATATTTATTTATCTATTATCTATTTATTGTCGGGTGAAAATTCGCATTAGCGCGGTATCAACTAAGACGAAATAGAATGCTAAAATCGTGATAGGTAACATGGCTTTACTGTGCCCCAAGCGAAAAATAAAATAAGTTTAATAGACCTAGTATAAGTTTACTGGTGGTAGGACCTCTTGTGAGTCCGCACGGGTAGGTACCACCACCCCGCCTATTTCTGCCGTGAAGCAGCAATGCGTTTCGGTTTGAAGGGTGGGGCAGCCGTTGTAACTATACTGAGACCTTAGAACTTATATCTCAAGGTGTGTGGCGCATTTACGTTGTAGATGTCTATGGGCTCCAGTAACCACTTAACACCAGGTGGGCTGTGAGATCGTCCACACATCTAGCAACAAAAAAATAATTAGTATGAGTTTATTTGTAAATTGTTTTAATTTTTCTGGACTGCTTATCCCCACCAGTAGTACTATTGCTTTTAATGATTTTACCTCATCACTGAGCTTCTGAATGTTCTAAGTGGTTAGTGTTAAAATATAAAAAAAAACAACAACAAAGTATTGAAGCTTCGTAACAAAACCGCATATTACGTTCTTGGAGTCGTATTGGATTGCATCGAAATCCAGACCGCATTAGTGTCAGACCGCAGATCTGCGATTGTTGCACCGTTAACATGCTCATTCCGGAGGCGTCCCGAACTAACTGTGAACGCGTTTGACAATTCTGTTGCGTGAATCAAAATTATAAACGTAATCGTGCTTGTATTATAAATTGGGCTTTGGTAACGGTTTTATGCGTTATATGTTATTGGGCACGTGAAACTTTGTAATGTGTTTAAATTTAATTGGGCTAGAGTCGACATTGGGCCGATTGTGGAACTTTGAGCGCTTGGCAATAACGCTGTTTGTTGTTTATAGACTCCAACTTCAATTAACAGTACAATGAGTACTTATTAATTTTAGGACTAGTGTATGTTATGTTAATGTCACTAAAATTGCTTTTCGCGTACATATTTTACTGGTGGTAGGACCCATTGTGAGTCCGCACGGGTTAATTTTAAGGAGGAACATCAGTACGAGCACATGCCGGAGCATTTATAAAATCATGAAGTCCTAAAGGATAAGACGTCCAGTGCATTCGTGTTGAGCGATGCACCGGTGTTCGAATCCCACAGGCGGGTACCAATTTTTCTAATGAAATACGTACTTAACAAATGTTCACGATTGACTTCCACGGTGAAGGAATAAGATCGTGTAATAAAAATCAAACCCGCAAAATTATAATTTGCGTAATAACTGGTGGTAGAACCTCTAGTGAATCCGCACGGGTAGGTAGCACCACCCCGCCTATTTCTGCCGTGAAGCAGTAATGCGTTTTGGTTTGAAGGGTGGGGCAGCCGTTGTAACTATACTAAGACCTTAGGACTTATATCTCAAGGTGGGTGGCGCATTTACGTCGTAGATGTCTGTGGGCCCCAGTAACCACTTAACACCCGGTGGGCTGTGAGCTCGTCCACCCATCGAAGAAGATGGGATGATGATATTTTTCGTTGGGGTATACGATTTCAAGATTTGTGGTTTTTAGTGGTACTTTTTTTAAATCATTCCCGACTGAAATTCAAACTCCTGTTTCATAGCATAGAAAGAAAAATTAGATGCATTTTGGACGGCAGAAACCTTTTAAAACGTTTTTCTATCAGCATCGATATTCTTTGTTATCACTTGTCTAAAAAATGAACAACAAAACTAATAAAATGATATGTGCAATGTAGACAATATTAATAGTTACGATTTGTCAGATTTGACCTACCAGAGGTCGCAGAATGTCAGTTACCGTCATCGGAAACAAGTTGGAACAAGGTCATCGTGAAAGAATGTTGAAAATGTTAACAAAAGTGCATGCAGTAACAGCCAAAAATATGAAAGTTTGAGTAATTTTGAATTTTTATCTTCTGTCTCGTTCTAGTTCTAATGTAACACAATAATTGAATAATAGTTTTTTTAATAGGCTTACTATGTGATTATTGAGCAGTGGTATAAAAATTCCTAATAATAATAGGGCTCTTGATTTGTAAGGTGATCGTTATGCTAAGTTTTTTTTAAATCTTAGGTACGTATCTACTCACCAGACCCCACGACAAAGGAATGTGCTGGTTTTACTAAGTGAAGCTTAAGTTATCGTTTATTTTAATTCATATTTGATGTACTGGCGAGCTAGACACAGTGGCGTCGTGAAAATACAATATTACTACCGCGATTGCTGTATGTTTCCTTTTCAGGAATCCATAGGTTTTATCCTATTAATAAATTATTGTGAACGCCTCCAATAGCTCTTATATGCTATGCCAATTTTCAATAGAAAGCTCATTTAACAGCCGTCTGGTGTAGTGATAAGTGACATGGTCACTACACAAGGGGGTTGCGGGTTCGAATCCCGCCAAGGGAAGATATTTGTATGATAAATGTCTTTTCCAGGGTTATGGATGTATATTGAATATATGTACGTGTATAATAAAAATCTTACATTTATTTCCGTTATCTCGTACCTGTAACACAAGTTCTTTACGAACTTATCATGGGACCAGTTAACGTGGCGTGATTGTTATTAAATATTTATTTATTTATTTATTATTTACCTTTCTCTCATATTACACCGGTCGTCTTATCTTTTAGCTCGCTAAGACTCTGTTCTCTGTAAAACTCCCTAAAATTAATTTTAAAAGTTAAAGATTAGGAATATAGGCGTCCAAATATTAAGTCCAAACATGCGGCCCGCTCCGGCTCCGCTCGGGTCTTTAACAAATATTTCAACGGTATTTGGCGTTATTTTATTTTTTTAAATATTTATTGCGGCATAACGATTATAGTTAGACATAATAATATGCTGTCGCGACACTTTTTGTAAATAATGATGTGTTCTACAAAGTCGTAGTAGGTACATTATTTTATTCTATCATCAATAGTTTTCGCTGATGTAAAGAATATTTTACGTAATTTTTTTACACCTTGGGTTACATTATTGGAGTTTTAGTAAGGATCCCTAGTTTTTTTCAAAAAAGATTATAGCCTATGTCACTCGGGGATAGTGTAGCTTCCACACAGTGAAAGATTTTTCTAATCGCTTCAGTAGTTTCGGAGCCTATTCAATACAAACAAACAAACAAATCTTTCCTCTTTATAATGTTAATATTATATTACATTGCTTAATTTTGTTTCATTCAACGACTCCCCCCTATTCTGAGCATTCTTTCATAAGCGGTTGTCTGAAAGAGATTATAGTTAGCCATAGAACAGCCCATTGTACGAAATAGCGTTCAAAATAAAACATCCGCTGGATAATTGTTGGTATTTGTTACATCTGTTTTATGATGACACGTACATATGTACAATGTAGGGACAAAAAAAAATTACTTCGTGTATAAACGCGTTACGTAAACTGAATATTATGGACTTCGGACATTGACCTCGATAACGAGATTTCCAGACTACGGGACGCCGCGATTTCGATTTATCGAGCGAATAATATATTTTTTTATTTTGTTATTGCTTAGATGGATGGACGAGCTCACAGCCCGCCTGGTGTTAAATGGTTACTGGAGCCCATAGACATCTACAACGGAAATGCGCCACCCACGTTGAGATATAAGTTCTAAGGTCTCAAGTATAGTGACAACGGCTACCGGAGGCAACTGTAAGAGCTGCTCATGAATTTTTTAACAGTAATCAATTTCGAATGGATTTTGATCTTGGGAATCTTTCCCAGAAGACAATGATTTTAAATCGTATATATATTATTATTCCAACTCTATTCGTTACAAAATCTGACATAATATTACGCATTCTGCTCACGGGCAATAACTGTATAAGGTTATATTAGCGTCACGTATTATACTCGTACCAGTGCGTATTGAGAAAAGATTTGCCCTCGCCCTGCATCGCTTTCGGCGCCGTAAAAGTGATTGATGGGCTTATTGACTTTTATTTTAGGCAGCCAAACATTTAAGGCGTCTTTACCATATTATACGTAGGTGTTCTTGGAACCTAACATTTATGGTTAATAATTTTTAAACACAGAATTCGTCAGATCTTGACGCGGTAAGACTTTTGAAGTTTAGCTATGAAGGCATTGTTAACATTTTTGATTGAAATGTTAGATGCAATGTAAATCTTTTTTTATATATTGCTTAGATGGTTGGACGAGCTCACAGCCCACCTGGTGTTAAGTGGCTACTGGAGCCCATAGACATCCACAGCGTAAATGCGCCACCCACCTTGAGAATAAGTTCTAAGGTCTCAAGTATAGTTACAACGGCTGCCCCACCTTTCAAACCGAAACGCATTACTGCTTCACGCCAGAAATAAGCAGAGTGGTGGTACCCACCCGCGCGGACTCACAAGAGGTCCTACCACTAGTAATTTAGTTGTAGATAGATGGGAATTTAGTGTGAATTGTTTTTTTTGTTGTTACAGCGCCCAGCTATGTTCAACTTTATGAAAAAGTCCACCGTGCTGGCTGGAGGCGACAACGGTGGCTACGATGATCGCGACGGAGAGAAAGAACGAAGAAAGAAAGAGAAGAAGGAGAGGAAGGAACGAGAGAAGAGAGAGAGGATCGCAGCTGGCCTCGAAGAGCCTCTCCGACTTGAGGAGGTAGGTGGTTTGTTCAAGTATCTTCAAATTTTTGCTCAAAAAGTAAATATAGTTGTATGAACATATCGTCTTCTCGTATTAATACTGTATAGGCTCAAAACTTACAAATTTTACAGGAGAGTGTTTTAAAGGTTTAACATGTCATATTTTTAATATTAATCATATTTGCAACATTTTTTTTTTTTACCATTTACCTAATTATCTGTCTTTTAAAGTAAGATACAATTATGTATTAATTTTGTTAATAGTAGTCAAAATATAGGTAAACTAAAAAAAAACTAAAACTAAACTACGCTCTTTTGACAGTATTTATGAGAAAAATACTGGTAATATCAAATGTTTACGCATATTAACTCAATTTAGAATATTTTAGGAAATTGTACACTTTAAATGCGAAAAGAAGATATGTATGATAGTAATCGACTGGTATCAGAATTTTCCGTGAAATTCAATACAAATTTTCAATAAAGTGGTTAGTTGCCCTCAATTAAGAAAAATAGTATTATTATTCGCCAATAGATGTCGGGAAGAGTTGATTATTGAAAACACGAATAAAACAACATTTTCTGAAAATAAATCGTAGCTAGATCGATTTATCGCCTCCGAAATCCCCTGTATACTAAATTTTATGAAAATCGTTGGAGCCGTTTCCGAGATTTAGATACATATACAAGAATTGCTCGTTTAAAGGTATAAGATAAGATTCACTGATATTGTTCTAACTACCGTCTAATTATATAAATAAATTATTTCTTGACATTTGCGATTTGTTTTCATATAGAAATAAATAACAGGGACACGAAGTCTGATAGATTCTTTAACTTGGACTTCATCTTCGTGATTAGAGGATGCCAGGTGTAAGATAAGCGCCAACAATCTTCTGTAATAAATTAGGGATGCCTTTTTTTCAATAGCCTCGCGCACCACCGCAAATTTCATTGCGCTAAAGTAATATCTGCCACATGATTGTACTTGGCATTTTTGAAACAGGCTATTAATAATCTTGATAAACCGCTTTTCGCGAACGCCAATTTGGCTCTCTTTTTTTATCTTTTTGGCTTTTTTTATCTCAATTTCGATTTTCTGAGGGTTCCGAAGAAATATTCCAATTTATCAAGCTCATATAATTACGTCTTATACTCATACCGAAATCATTTTGTACCAAGATATTATTAGCACTGTACGATAGCTCCGTTTTATTGAATTTTAAAGTTTTAAAGAATTACGTACTTACCACCAACTGCTCAAAGATTTCACGACTGACTTTCAAAAGTTGCACAAACCGCGGCAACTCGTAACGCTCAGTAGAAGCCGGGCAAGTTGGCGGGAGATTTTAAAATTTAAACCCCAAAATCGAACAAGCATTAAGCACTAGAAGTATATTTTTAATTTTGAAGGTAGGTGTATTCTACATATAAGTAATGGGTCAATATGAATTGGGATTAGCCTGATATGATGTATGTTGTGAATAAATTAAGATTGTCGAACTAAAACGATATTTTCGTAGGCATTTTAACATAATACTAGAGGTCCCGCAGTAGTCGAAATTCGACTATAATTAATTGGAATTGTAAGTTTGTACACTGTTATGATTGTATTTTATACTTCTATAATCACACATTTCGCCAAAACTACACTATAAAAAAATATTAATAAAGACAAACAATATTTAATCTATTCTCAATTTGACCAAGGACGTCATAAACAAAAGTTTGACAAAAAATAGTATGCATGCATGTGTGCGTCAAATACATGGTATGTAGTGTGTGTAATGTTTTCTTTATTGATTTAATGTATCTTTTATGCATTATTTAAAAAAATATTAGCATTGTGCACTTCTTCTCTATATTCTCTATAAGTGTGGAAAATTTCATACTCCTCCGTCCGCGCAATTTTCGTAAAAAGGGATACAAAGTTTTTGCTTCACGTATTAATATATAGATAATATGAGCACAGAACCCTTTTTATTTTTCGTCCAATGACTTGCACCTGTCTCTTTTTTATTGTGATTTATTGTATACATTTTTTCTCGTGTTCAAAGCTTCGTGGTCACGGGTAATATCTCCGCGGCTTTCGTATTACGACAGTTTGTTTTGCGTAATTAATTGAACGTACCAGAACCATTGAATCGGTATTGTTGTCCTCGATTTCTCAACTTTGTTTTACAACGTCGAATTCGAATAACATAAATAATAAAATTGAAAAATATTGCATATCTTTGCAACTTCCAAGTTATTTATCTATGCAAATTTTAATGAATAGTAATTTTACGGACGAAATGCGTTTTTTTTTGTTTTGTTTTCAAATTCTCATTTACAAATGCTTTACACTTTTCGTATACATTAAAACCGTGTTGCTTTAAGAACTGTTTATTGGCGGTAGGACCTCTTGTGAGTCTGCGAGGGTAGGTACCACCACCCTGCCTATATCTGCCGTGAACCAGTAATGCGTTTCGGTTTGAAGGGTGGGACAGCCGTTGTAACTATACTTGAGACCTTAGAACTTATATCTCAAGGTCGGTGGCGCATTTACGTCGTAGATGTCTATGGGCTCCAGTAACCATTTAAAACCAGGTGGGCTGTGAGCTCGTCCACAGATCTAGGCAATAAAAAAAAACCGAAAAATAACATCAAACGGCTCGGTGGCGTAATTAAAAATCCCAATTTATTACTAGACACATATCAATAACAGCTATCTGTAGAAGTTTTTTGAGTATCGTCAATTGAGCGGAATTACGAAGGACAAGTCCAAAGTTCAAGATAATCATCATTATCTACGTGTCGGTTAACATAACACACTAACCTATTCCAATATCACAATGAATCATATACTTATCTCAATAGTGTGTTTCTGTGTCACTCATTATGTTTATTGCATTTAAGATAAACTAATCTTATTGGTAAAACCACCGATATACTACCAGTGGTAATATATCGATGGGTAAAACAGACATTTATTTTGTTCCCTTGTTGGTGAGTCATGGCTTTGATGTGAAACTAAAAATGAATTAGTATTTTTGTTTGTTTTCGCGAGTAGTAAGTAGACACGGTTAGGGTTAGTTAATGAAATTTTAAATTTAGAAATCTTTTTTATAGACAAATAGACGGCAGTCGGCACATCAATCAAATGTCGACGAATCGAACCATAAATTATTCGTAACATCGGAAATATTATCTTATACCTTTAAACGAGCAATTCTTGTGTTTAAATATAAACTCAATCTCGGAAACGGCTCCAACGATTTTCATAAAATTTAGTATACAGGGGATTTCGGGGGCGATAAATCGATCTAGCTACGATTTATTTTCAGAAAATGTTGTTTTATTCGTGTTTTCAATTATCAACTCTTCCCGACATCTATTGGCGAATAATAATACTATTTTTACTGCTTTATTCGGTCATCATCTAGTGACTTATTAGATTGCACCGGACGTCTTATCCCTTAGTCCACGACGACTTGACGACGACGACAAAAATAAAAATTCTAATTAACACTAAAACCTTGTACGTTACTGGTGGTTGGGCCTATCGTGAGCCCAAACGAGGATCAACATCTCACCCATTTCCTGCTATTAAACAGGAATTTTACGGGTTTGATTTTTATCACACGATATTTTTCTTTAGTTCGTCCAGTCGTTCGAGAACACATGTTAAGTTAGCTCCATCCATAAATTGTAATATTTCAGTTACCTGACTTTTAATTAGAATGATAACGTTTTTTTTATTTATTGGTTAGATGGGTGGACGGGCTCACAGCCCACCTGGTGTTAAGTGGTTACTGGAGCCCATAGATATCTACAATGTAAATACGCCACCTACCTTGAGATATAAGTTCTAAAGTCTCAAGTATAGTTACAACGGCTGCCCTACCCTTAAACCAAAACGCATTACTGCTTCACGGCAGAAAATAGGCAGGGTGGTGGTACCTACCCGCGCGGACTCACAAGAGGCCCTACCACCAGTAATTACGCAAATTATAATTTTGCGGGTTTGATTTTTATTACACGATGCTATTCCTTCACCGTGAAAGTCAATCGTGAACATTTGTTGAGTACGTATTTCATTAGAAAAATTGGTACCCGCCTGCGGGATTCGAACATCGGTGCATCGCTTCAACACGAATGCACCGGACGTCTTATCTTTTAGGCCACGACGACTTCAAATTTACTCGAAGATCAGCCGAAATAAAACAAAACACGATCAAATTTGTTCCGCGTTATATAACACCACTACGGTGATATCGTTATGGTAAAAGTGTTTACGACATCCACGCGGTTTTTAAACCTTGTTAAATTGATTTTTTGTCCATTGGAAGTTCCAATTAATTATAGATATCTATGCTATCATTTTAAATTTGCTTTTATTAGGTTGTGTATGCTGTGTCTGGGTAATGTGTGTGTATTAACTGTGTTTAAATTTATGTAATCTCTCAACATAATTTTTATTAACTTCAAGACGCCCGATTAACTGGAAAATTTGCTCACAGATCAAGGACCTCTGGCCTAATAACCGAACTTCATTATCCTGATCAGTAGAATAAATAACCTTAGGTTTGGTTTGTTATTAAAGCTTGTTGTTGAATTTTGAAACCAAATATTTTAATATAAGTTTTCATTAATAACTGATCTATAAATATAACATCAATAATTATATTATTTATAGTAGATTATAATAGGCTATAGATAATAGAAGTCGAGGCTTCATGATGGGAACAAAAAAGCTATAATGTATAATACCAATTTTTGGATAATGTAATTCGACCCTGATTTTTCCTTAGTTGGGCATTGTATTTGTAATTCGAAACAATTGCCTCTCTATGTATTGTATAAATTAGGCCCATCTAAGTAGCTACCTAAACTTGTCGCAATAGGTCAGCAACATGAGGTTACCACACCGTTTGACATTCAATGGTCTCACTTTCAGTGCCATGACATTTGTATCATTCATGCCCATAATCTAATTTTAAATTTAAATCTCATCAATTTTTGTGATCTCCGTTG